GCCTGTACCAGGCTGTCTGCATGCTCACCTATCACTCCTGTCTTCTGAGTTAGGGAGAGTCATACTCTATCCATTGGGACTCCTGACCAATGGGATGAGCATCTCTGGCCAATATCAACAGGGATCCCCCTAAGCCAGGAGTATTGCAACTGCTCCCCAGAGCCTAGCATCACGATGTGGCTACCACAAATGATCCTCTCTCAAGGGGACCCTCTGTAGGCCCAGTGTACAGGCCCAGCTGTGTCCACTTCACAGGTGAGACTCAGGTCAGGTAATGGGCCAGTGAGATGGCTCACTGGTTAAAGGTGCCTACTGCCAAGTCTGATGACCTGAGTTCCATCCCCAGGGACCCATTGGTAGAGAGAACAAACTCCCATAAGTTATCCTCTAACCTCCATACACATATTGTGGCATGCAAGCATCCACATACATCCACACACAGAATATACATATGTAATTAAATAAAATACTATGTAATTTTAAAAATGGAAAGGTTAGTTGACTGGCTGACACAGCTTAGATGCAGCAGGGTGAGAACTGACTTCCAGAAGCAGGGTGTGGAGTGGGAGACCCTCCATCTTCTGTGCCTACCTGCAGCCTTCCTTTCCTTCCCCCAACCTCCTGCAATGTCTGGACCTCATTTAGCTCTCCCAACCCTGCAGATCCAGGGTCCAGGACCTCGTAGGAGGGCAGAAGCCAGACCTGCAGTCCCAGGAAACCTGAGCCCCCTCTGAGCCTGGCACACAGGGAGCAGAGGCACACCCAGCTCACAGGACTCAAACAAGATAAAGTACAGGGAGCCCTCAGCACAGAGATGGGTGTGCAGCAATCACTCAATTAGTGCTATCTTCAGAATGTCAGTGGTACAGACCTGTCATTTCCTCTGCCCCGAAGAATCCTTGAAGGACAGCCCCAGGGGCCCCTCCTTCAGTGCCCAGCCTGGGGTGCTCGGCACAATTCAGGGATGCAAGAGTCCCAAGCAACTTGATGGCACCCCAGAGAGTCCTGAGAAGGGATAGGGCCGCACCATCCTCCCCATCCCCGAAAAGGAGATGGTGCTGCTGGCAATTCCCAGCCCACTGCCTTCCAACTCTAATCAAGGAGCAAACACAAAGAGAGAATCTCTAAACATTTAGAAAACGCGGGAACCTTGTGCCCCACGCGGCACCATGGGGATTTATAAAGAACAAATCATGCCTGACAAACTTGATAGCTTTCTTGATAGAATTACAAGACTGGTAGATGAAGGAAACGCAGGCAGGGTAATATATCTTGATTTTTAGCAAAGCATTTGATACAGTGCCTCGAGTAATCTTACAAAATTAATTCAAACAGACTTGGCCCTCAGCACTTGTCATGGGGCCTAAAGGCAGGAGGGGGCAAGTCCCAAGAGTTCTGGAAGGAGGAGGCAAGGCCAGTGGGGAGAGCTGGAAGGCAGAGTCTGGAAGTGGGGACAGGAGTGGGGGCAGGGCTGCTTGGCCTGTGCCTGGCTACATCTTATCTAACATCTTCATTAACGATCCTGGGAGAGGGAGTAAACAGTCCGTTAATGAAATTTGCAGAGGATATTAAATTGGAAGGTGTTGTGAACACCAATGAGGACAGCAAAGTGGTCCAGAGAGACCCAGGTCAGAGAACCTTGCTAGGACTCGGCTAGCTGGCAGGGACATGTCGGGGGTGGGCGGTGGGGGGCTGCTGGGCATTGGCTGAGCTTTTTAGAGAGCTGGAGGAAGAGAGATGGGTGTCTTCAGGGCTGCCCTGCAACTGGGAGAGACCGAACAGAAAAACCTCAGGAATCTCATTTTTGGCATCTATAAAACAGGACCGGCCCTTGTGGTTGGTAGTGATGGATGGAGAAAGTTTAGGGACTCTGGGGTTGAAGTCGCCTTATAGAAGGCGGAGTCTGAAAACCATGCTGTAACTAGAGAGGATCTAGTGAGGAGACTGCCTGGGTGTCACTGGCTCCCAGAATCTTCCTGAGCCTTGCAGAATCTTCCTCTTAGACAGGCCTCTCCCTGCCCCATGAGGTGGCACCCATGCCTACCGATACTGCAGGACATACCCTAGGAGCACATGAACAATGGAGGCCCCAACCTGAGGACTGTCTTCAAGAGACCTGATTCTCAGGGCCAAATGGATAGGTTCCAACCTGAGGGCTGTGTTCAGGAGGCCTCATCCTCAGGGACTAAATGATCAGGCTCCCCAGGATTGGGAAAGAGGGTCTGTTTTACTCTGAGCCCTTCTGTCTACTTTAGGGCCCCCTCTCTGCCCTAGCCCCAAGGGGATTGGCAACCAATCCTCACCCAGAATGTTGCAGCAAGGACTACATGGACTTGGAGGTTTTTTCCCACAAGGCTCCTGGGCTCTATACAAGCCAGGCTGGAAAGCACCAGACTAGACTCCAAACAATCCAAATAAATACTCTATGAGAAGAAACGCATGGCTGGTTCTCAGCAGGGGTGCCAGGGCTGCAGAAGGCCACTCTTCCCAAGTTGGGCAGATGTCAGACTACCTGCTGGGACTTGGGAAGGAGCCAGGTGAGCCCCTTGCAGCTAGGTCAGTAACCTTGACACTCACCCAGTACTTCTTACTACAGTGGTGTTCTAAGTGCATTCCACATTAATGACTTTGACCTTCAAGAGCCTAGGAGGTAGGCGGTACTATGACCCTCATTTTACAGAGAAGGAAACTGAGGCATTGAGAGGTCACCAGGAGCTTGAGCCAGAAGGTCACAGGGACAGCAGCAACCTGCCTGCTGAGCAGTCCCCAAGGGGATCCCTAGTGAGCAGGGAGAGGCAACACCTCCTCTGGGAAGGCCAGAGCCTTGCCCATCAGTCTTCCCACTGAAGAGAGTTGGTCCAACTCCACCACACTTGTGGAGCCTGATTTTACTATATGTTTTCCATCCTCCCCCCATCGCCTCGCTACACTGAGTCCTCTGAACAAGTCTGTTTCCATGGAAACCATACAGTGACTCAGGGCTTCGGGACGTTCTCTGAACCAGATTATGACTATCAAATGCTCCTTCCTCACACCAGTGCAAGACACCCAGTGTGCAAGGGTAGGGGGCAGCAGGTGGGCGAGAGAGACCTGGGAGGGTACACAAAGCAGGCCCTACTTCGAGCCTGGCACCCAGGGCTCCTGCAGACTCAGCTGAACAAGGATGCACTCATCCTCCAGTGCAGCCTGACCCATGCCCTGTACTAATCCTCAACACCACTCTCCCATTGGAGCTAGGACCTTCAGGAGAGGATACAGAGGATCTATACACCTCCTCTGATTGGGAGCCTGCACAAGTCAGAGGTGGCATGGGGGCCAGGGCAGAGGGAAGCCAGCTAGCTTAGGATGTTCAAGAGGAAACTGCCAACCCAAGTCATGGAAACTATTCAGCAAAGAGGGAAATTTGGATTTTGAGCATGTGAGGAGGGTCTGCTTTGAGATGAGAAGGCTGGGTGTGAAGAGAGGGGAAGAGGGGGTGTGATCTCAAAGCCCCAGCAGTATTGGGAGGATACTCAGCAAAGGCTTCCTCTCACTTAAAAACCCCTTCCTTCCCCTCCAACACTGTGCCCTGACCTGGCCTTGAGCCACTCACCCACCAGGATCAGGGACCACAGCAGGCAATGAGTGCCAGGTTCTCACAGGGGTCCAAAGCCCAAGACCAAATCTGCCCCCTGTTTTCCCCAGCAGCTCCCTAAAGACCCCAGAGGGTGAGGGAATGGAATAGGTAGGAAGCTTGATATCTCCCTGGTGAATCCAGAGTATGAGTCATGCCGGTGAAAGCACTTTGAAAAAGAAAACAGGGTCATCCTGATGCCTAGAAGTGTGGGGGGTTGCTGGGGGCTGGAGCCTGGAAACTGCCTGCCTAGTAAGGACTCTGAGAGACAATCCAGCCCCACCTAAGGGCTCAAGGAGCCTGGAAAAGTAGCTGTGGTCTGTAAGCCTCCATCTACTTGCATCTAACATCTACAGGTACTTAGAGCTTGCCGGAGCAGCTCCTTTACCATCCAGAGTACCTTCCTCTGCCACCAACCCAGGTCCTCTCTGCCCCTCTGCCCCAGAAGACACTAAGCCAAATTCTTGTCTTTGGACATGCCCCTCCTCTGTCCCAGTCTCAATCTCTCTGTCATCAGCCAACCCATCCTGGCACCTGGAACTCAGAAGCAGGCATGCCCAGGGGCCTTCTGCTTCAGAGCAGTTGGTAAGTCCATTAGGAAGCTAGACCTGGGAACCTAATCCTGGGAAAGGATAGGCCTGGAGTAGGAAGCGGTAACATGGTGAGGGACCTGAAATCAGGCCAAGCCAAGGTGCCACCCTTAGGAGGACCTGTGGTCTTAACCTTCCTCGGGTGGCTTGGCCTTTTAGCCCATAGCACCACAGCCTCTGTAGACTGTTACAGCAGAGGAAAGCACTGAATCCCTCCCTGGTGCCTGGGAGGAGCTGGCCATCCCCATCCTACTTTAAGAGGAGCCAGGGTGGTTCTGGCCTCTCCTGGGGGGAGGGGGTGTCTGCACCATCAGACGGCCAGGGTCCTCTAAGGGCCCATCTCTTCACAGCATGGTGGGTGCCGGGTACAGGACTGAAACTAGAAGGCCGGGCACCCCCGCCTCCTCCGGGTGCAGCCCTGGTTAGCAAAGTTAGAGCTGGCATGGGGACCTCGGGGTCTCTAGAAGCCTTGGTAGCCTTGGCAGCCCGAGTCATGCAGGATGGTGAGCCCAGAGCAGCCTCCCGAGTGCGCTCAGCAGCAGGAGAGCCAGGGGCCACCGCGTCCCAAGTTTGCTGCCCTCCCCCAGATGGGGGCGAGGAGTGCTGGCGCTCCCGGGCCACTAGCCTGGCCAGCCCCTTCCTGCGCCCGGCAAGCTGCGGTCCCCCGCCTCCGCCTCCGCACACCGCCAGGAGCCACCGGCCCCGAGCCGAGGGGCGTCTCCCACCGCGCCCGCGCCCCTCCTGGCTGCTGCGGCGGAGTTCTGCCCGCCCCGGGGCCCGCGGGGCCCGGCCGGTACCTGGTCCGGGGCGCTCCAGGAACCGCTGCAGAGCCCAGCGCCGGCTCCATCCTCGGGTCTAGAGTCAGGCTCGCCCGGGGCCGGAGGGTGGCGGCGGCGGCGGCATCATCCTGGTCGCGCGCCCTCCTCCTTGGCCTCCCTCCTCCCTCTCCTCCTCCTCCGCCTACGCGCACCCCTCACGGGCCGCTCTCCATAGCCCAGGGGCGCGAGCCCTGGGTTGCAGGAGCAGCACGGTGTCTTTTTCCCGGCAGGGAGAGAGATCGGGGGACAGAGGGGCACAAGGACCCGGACCCCGAGCGCTGCAGCCCGGGGCTCTGGAGCAGGGCAGCAGCTGCAGGCGCCGGAGCCTCACGGAACGCCAGCCTCGCGTCCCAGATCCGAGAGCAGCGGTGGCGGCTTCAGCGTACAGCCAGCAAGCGGGCGGCGGGTGGCGGGCGCTGCGGTCCCGGCTCCACCCCCAGCGCCGCCCGCTCCCTCTCCGCCAGACCCCGTCAGCGCTCGCCCTTCCGCCCCCCGCACCGCCCAGGCGGTCAATGCTGGGACACCCCCCTGCAGGGCTCCGGACCAACCCACCCGAAGGCCGGGGGCAGCCACGCCCACCCCGGAGCCAGAGCTCCAGCTGTCCACCCTCACCTCTTGCCCAGACCTCCTTCCGAGAGAGCTGCTCTCTACGCAACCAAACTCTCCAGACCCCCCAAGTCCAGCTGCAGCCCAAACCTGGTCCTGGATCCCAATCGCTATCTTTCACGTCCTCAACCAGTGCAACCAGAGACCCTGGACCCCAGACCCCAGAACCGGAGCCAACCACCTTTCAGTGCCAATACCCCACCACACTCTCTGACCTGGCCTCTCCTTGTGCTCCTACACTCCCAAGTAGAGAAATGCTTCATTTACCCCAGATCCTGTCCTTCCTCTTGGATAGGGTCATGGGGTGGCTGGTTTAGTGGGACATCACAGTGTATCTGCTAGAGGAAACCTTCCACCCCTCCCAGACCCTCCCCTATTAGACCTCTCAGATGGAAACCTAACCACATGCCATCCTTGTGGGGCCCAGACAACAGCAGAACGGATGCACCGTGGTCCTTCATTCTCTGAGCAAATATTGACTGAGCATCTCCCGCAGGCCAGGCCCTCATAAGCACCAAGGACTGGCAAGACAGACCCCTGACCTCTCAGAGAGGTGCGGGGGAGGGGGGGGGGACAAGATAAACAGGTAGAAGGATGCCTGTGGCCCCTGGGCAGAAGGAGACAGGGAAACCCAGCTGTGCACCACTGCATAGCCATCACCAAGGCTGGCCTCCCCTGGGGCCTGCTTTCCCCTCTAAAGGTGGGAAGGTGGTTTGAAGAGTTCTCTGCCCAGGAGACTGTCCTGAGGCACCAGTGGAGCAGTGGGCGACCCTCTTCATCTCTGAATTCTTCTGGAGTCTTTGATTTCCATAGCCTGTCCATCACTTCTGGACATGGGTGCAGAAGACAATAGAAGTCTTGAAAACTCCAGATCCTCACCTGGGTACAGTAGATTCCCAGGGCAAAGAGCCGTGTGTAGGTTTGATGTGTGACTGTGTAAACGCAACCTCTCTACCTCAGTTTCCTCATGGAGAAAATGGAGATACTGGTTCTCATCTCATAGGGCTACTGTGAATACCAGATAGTAGAACAGACGCTTGGCGCACTGCAGGCATGCACCATACTAGTTGCTGGTTTGTGGAAATGAACATCCACTTGCTCATTAGGAAGAGAACAATACAGTGTGCTTCTCTGGGGGACCCTGAGACTCATGTCTTCAGGAGCATCTCCACCCGGAACCAGATGGCATGAAGGTCCCCTGCCCTAAGGGTTCCAGCAGACCAAATAGTCATTTATCTTGGTCACAGTTGCCAACTCATAATTATAAACTCCTGTTCCCCATTGTCTCTTGGACCCTCCCTAACCATTGCCTGCACCAGCAGTGCTGCTGGGCAGCCCTGCTGGGCTCCCACCCCACCCCACTGCTGCCAGGGCTACAGGGCCAGTCCTCAGCCCCAACTTCAAGGTGACCATATTGGTCCCCCGCCAGTCCCACCAGAGAGTGGCTGTGTTTTGAGATGCCCAAGGAGAGGGAGCTGACCTTGAAAGACCACGCTAGGTTTCAGGACACCCCCCGCCATCTCACCATCACCAGCTCTCATCACCCAGAATGAGGCAGAACCTTCCCTTTCGCCCAGGCTAATCCCTGCCCTAGTCTTAGCTAGATAAGAATAGTCAGGGCTTAGAGCTTCCTATCTCCCACTCTCAGATCCAGCACCTCATTTTTTAAGCTCTGCTCCTATTTTGGATGGAGAGGAGGGTATGGCTGTAATGTAAAGACAGAGTGAAATTGGGAATTTGGTGGGGGGGGGCACTTAAACTCTAAAAATAGACAAAGACTGGGTCTCTGGAGACTACAATTCTGTTTCCAGTTGCCTGGAATCTCCCCACATACCAAAAGCACAGATGTTTGTAGGGTGCCTAGGGTGTGCATAGCACTGTGGCAGGGGCTGTAGGGGAAAAGAACAAGGTAAAATAGAAGCAAAAGCTTTGTGCTTAGGAAAGTTGGATCCCACACAACAAAGCAGCAAAGAATAGCCACGTGGGGTGGGGAGGGGAAGCTGGAGAGATGGCTGAACAGTTAAGGGCACATACTGTTCTTACAGAGGATCTGAGTTCAGTTCCCAGCACCCATGTAGGGTGGTGCGCAACTGCCCTTAACTCTACCTCCATGGGAATCTAACACCCTCTTTGGGCTTCCATGGGCACCTGCACTCACATGTACACACATACACGCTTGCTTGCACGTGGGCGTGTACACACACACACACACATGCATGCACACACACAAGTAGTTTTTTAAAAAACTTAATAGTCACTGAAAATGTGATTTTTAATAGCCTTGGAAGTCAGAGGAAGATAAAGCTGGAGGGTCATTCAGGACAGTTTCCTGGAGAAGGAAGAGCTCCAGGAACTGGAGCTTGTGGAATGAATGGGATGTACAAGGTGGGGAGCCAAGAGGAAACAACCACTAGCCAGGTTCAGTGATGACACAGTAAGGAAATATCATCTGTGATCTCCCCATAAGTCAGGAGCTGGGCTATTTGTCTTGTGGGGATTATTTTGTTTGACCCTCAAAAGCAGCCCTGTGGGGTAGGAATTGCCATTCCCACTCTACAGATGAAGAAACTGAGAGCCAAAGGAGCTATGCAACTTGCCCAAGTTTGCAGAGCTGGTAACTCACAGGATACCCAAGGTAGGGGCTCCCATTGGGTCAGTCTGACTCACAGAAGTACCTGTGAGAACAGAAGGCCAAATGTGCAGGTGAGAGGGACTTCAAGTCCCCAGATACAGGGCCACACTGGGTCAGCCTGACTCATAGAGGTACCTGTGAAAACAGGAGGCCAGATGTGCAGATGAGAGAGATTTCAGCAGCCCCCAGATACAGAGGCTTCCTCTAATAGAGCCCTCAGGCCTCCCAAGAACTTTAAAATAAGGCATTCCCTCATCTCCCCAACTATGCAGGTCTCCAGGGCAATTAGAAATTTGTTAAGGGATTTGGGGCTTAAGAATCTGGCATTTTAATCTCTTTTGAGTGTCCATGTGGTGGCGGTCTGTGCTACCCACCTTGTTATTTCAGTCTGTTCTGAGAGATTGATGGCCTAGGCTTTGATTTAAGATGTGTAGTCGTGGTCCTCCATTCCTGTGTCTCACTGGAACACTGACAAGGCTACAAAAGCTCGAAGAAGGCAACTCCCAGCTGTCCCTGGACTTTGGGCCCAGCAGCTTCAGCACCTGTAGAGAAAGTTCCAGCCAGAACAGGCTAGGCAGAACAGCAAGGCCCAGCAGCCCTACCACCCCAGCATGGGAAAGGGATAGTACTGAAGAATACCACACAGTGAGAGAGCTGATAAGAAAACCAGGCTCCAGAGAGGGCAAGTGACTTCCCTAAGACCACACAAGAGATGGATTGAGCTTCCAGCCCTGACTTCCTGAGGGAAAGTTCTCTTACATCTTCATGTCCCCCACTTCTGCCCTGGTTTAGATGAATTTCTTTTCTGGATTAATGGAGGAACATGAATCTCTGTGGTTAAAATGGACAAGTATTTGAAACATTACCTGTGGCTGGACACATGCTGGGTCTTCAGACATGTAAAAGATCCTTGCTCCCTGTAGATCTCTAGACTCAAAAGTTACCAAGCCTGGTGAGCTGGTAGCTTAAACCAACCCTGTCAGCACTGAAAACCCTTTTGTGCCCCTTCAGGTTCTCAGAGACCCCTTGCAAGGTACCTCCCTATTCCACACACAGTTTCTGTGAATCCCTCAGAGGGACACTACCATTCCCAGGTCAACCAGTTACCAGCCGCTGCCACCACTGGTCATCTGTCCTGTTCTTTTCTCCTACAGAGGAGGCTTCTTGAAGGGTCTCCCTTCCCCCACAAGAGACCAGTGGAACATCATCCTCCCCAGCACCCTGGGGCCCAGAGCAAGGATGCTACATTTGTCTCTAGGGACCTTTTTGCAACTAGCTTGGACTGCTGGCAGCTGTGACTGCTAACCCCTGGCCTCAAATCCAGGCTGAGGGTTCCATTAAAAAGGCCTATTTCCAACAGAAAGTTCTTTCCTTCCCAGTTACAAAAGGGAGTCCCCCAGGGAGATTAGAGGAAGCTACCAAATCCTGGAAAGGAGGAAACAGAAAAGCTGTGGGCTTTGCTCTGGTCAGGAGCCAGGCCCACACTTGAACTGCCGTCTTCTGACACAATTGCTGCTCAGCAGCCCCACCCCCCATCCCACCCCTAAGGGCTCTTGACCTCCCTGGGCCAGATAAGGGGGAAGGCAGAGTGATCCACACCAGGGATTAAGGAGGCAGCACTAGGCAGTAGACTCCCCATCCTCCAAGCTCCATCTTCCTTCCTCTGACCTCACATGATCCCACAAGTTTTTTGCCAAGGTGAGTGGCATCCAAATCCCCCAAGTTCCCGGAAGGAAGGAGAAGTCAGAGAAGGCCAAATGTCCACTTCCTTCTGAGGAAGAACCTTCCCTGACCCACTCTGCTGGCTATTGCTACACTTAGCCCTATGGCCGGAGTGAAAAGCCCAGAGGCCTAGCTGCGGACATCTGCGTTCTCCAGATTCAGAGTTTCCCAGGGGTTCCTTCACAACTTTCCTACAGTAGGAACCAATTGGTGGCCACAGGCCTGGGTCCAGCATAAGCAGGCTCCAACCTCCCCTCGCCACCCCCACACACCTGGGACCAGGGGCTGGCCTCAGAGCCCTGAGGAGGCAAATACTCTCACCAAAGACAGCAAGGCCCATGGCTAAACCAACAAGATGATACTGTGAGCATCTCACAGGCCCTGGGGCTGAAGGGGGTGATAGAAGTTGGGGGTGGATAGCAAAAGAGGATCTGATCAGATTGTGGTCTGCAATTAAAATTCCCCTCCTGGGTAATTCCCAGGCC